CATGTTTGGTTTAGATAAAAATAAATAGATTTTAATAAAAATTGATGAAATATGTAATTGAAAAGTTGATAAAAATTGTGAGTCCCATGAAATATATAGATTGAAAATGATTTGGAGGGAAAATTAGTTTTACAACTTGGGTCCAAGCCCTTGTTTGAGGCAAATTATTTGTTTCATTAAAATGAAATTTCTAGCCGTTGGACACACAACTGGGCCCCACACGAGATGAAAAGTCAACAAATTCAGCTGTTTGTGATGGTTAACGATAAAATTTTTCATTCTTTTGTCTAAATAATTTGCCTCGAATAGGGGCCAAATAGGGGCTACATGTATAATAGATCCTTAACTATTGAGGGACCATGTTCATTTGGTTTCATCATCCTCTTCTAAACCCTGTTTGATGGAGGAGTTTTGCTACACAAACATAATACTTGATATAGGGGATGACACGACATACACACATGGAGATGTTGGCATTATTTAATTCAGGTCAAAACCCACATGCAATGTGAGTGGTCGGTCAACTCCTATATCAAACATTATGTTCATTTAGCTTAATTATTGATGGAGATTAAAATCAATTTTTTAGTAAATTTTGATAGAAGTTAATGAAATGTATGGTTAAAAAGTAATGACTCCTATAAAATGTGTGGTTGAAATTAATTGTTCACTTTGACTTGAATTAAAATCCTAATTTTAATTTTCACTAAACAGGAAGCTATGTTTTACCGAAATTTCATCATTGTGAAAGAACGATACTGGACTCTCTTCATGTGAACTTTTATTAATAAAAGTTGGGCTCATTTAGCTTGGACCGGAGTTGATCTTCGACTAAAGGAACCCTCAAATCACACAAGGCACCCCATTAAGTTGATCTCTCTTGCATGTGAACTTTTATTAATAAAAGTTGGCCTCATTTAGCTTGGACCCGAGTTGATCTTCTACAAAAGGAACCCTTAAATCTGGCAACCCATTAAGTTGACACACACACACACACACCCCAGAGTGCGTCAATTCTGATTTTTTCTTATGTCCAATCTATAACACAAGAGTGCATCAAATTCTGATGTTTTATTTAAAGCTTGTTTGGTAGGGATTTTTTGGGGGAAGAATTGATTTTGAATAGTGATATGATGGGAAATGTGTGGTTGAAAAAGAAGATAAAATTATTGATGTGATGGAAAATATTATTTTATTGAAGAATGTGTGGTTGAAAATGAGAATTGATTTACTGTAGAAATGAAGAATCCGTACCAAACGGGGCGTAAATAGTTTTG